CTTAGCACCTACCCGCTGGTGGAGATCCTGCAAGGGCCCTGCGAGGTAGGCGCCTTCACCCTCCCAACTTACAAGTGAGAAAACCCATGGGGACCTTGACCAAGTCCCAGGGTCGCGCACTGGGGTTGTTCCATGGTATTTGTGCTAGACTCTGCCTTCTTCGCCTCATTCATCACCCCCAAATAACTCCAGCAAGCCTGTTACAGAAGAGGAGGCTGAGCTTGGGAGAGGTTGGCACGGGCAGAACAGGGTTCCCAACCCCACCTGTAGGATGCCAGAGTCCGAGCTGGATTGCCATGGGGTTTTAGAGGACTTTCAACCCGCCTCTGCCCAGGCTGATCCAGAGCACTGGTCCACAGTAATTCCCCTCAGGCGGGGAGCCCCAACGGTCACCACTGCTCTGGCTGACTACAGTGACTCCCTGGCTCAGGCGGGGTAGGGCAGGAGGGCCGAGTGAGGAGAGGTCAGCACACATGGGCCGGTCCCTGTGTGCACCAGAGCGGCCCTTCCCGGCATTGCTTTGATGAATTGCCTTTTCCAGCAAGACTTCACGGAGGGAGGTGACCCAGGCCATACAGAATCTGAAAATCCCTGGGGGAAGGATCTAGCCCAGGGCAGGGCCAGGAGAGGGCATTCGGCTGCCCACCCTGGAGCCCAGTTTCAATAGAGGACCAGGCCCTGAGAGAGTGGCCAGCGCGGGAGGAGCAAAGACCTTGAGAGAACCAGGGGGAGAGAACCAGGGGGGAGATGTGCCCGGGTGCCCAAGAGCCGAGCGGGCACAGATGCCAGCCCCACTTCTGTCACTTGGTGGGGCTTGGGACTGCCTGTGATGACCGAGGCCAGCCAAGGTCAGAGCTGGACACAGCTTTTGAGGGCCCCTCTGGGAAGGCAGGGAAAGGGCCCCTGACCCAGACTGCTGTCTGCCTTCTGGCCCTCTGAGGGGCTGAGTCCCTTCACAGAGCCTCAGTGTTGTCACCTGTCAAATGGGAACAGGACACCCGTGCGGTGACAGCACTAGCCAGGGCACAGCATCTGCACGTCACCGGGCTCATCAGTGGCAGCTAGGACATCTGTCACTCAGGAGGAGGGTTAGGGGACGGATTTCTAGAACTTTCCATGGAAAGAACCCGGAGGCTGCCACCTGCCTGTATTCCCTACCTCTTCCCTTCCCTTGCAAGCCATTCCTCTCAGGTGGGCCCAGTGCCAACACAGATGAGTCCCCAAGGGCCTGGGAAGGCGTGGGGGCCACGGGGTAGGTGTGTCCAGCGTGGCTCCTTATAGGCAGAACCTGGCTCTGACCCCCTGGTGAACAGGAAGGGTAGAGGGCTCAGGAGTGACTGGAGGGAAGAGCAGAATGCCAAGCTGGAGCAGTGTGGGCGGGGCCAGGAAGGCTCCCGCAACCTCTGCGGTGAGAATTCCAGACCCCTCTGCTGGGCTGTGTTTTCTAACCCACTAGTGAATTATGAAATCAGGAGCTGGTAACCAGAATTTTCTTGAAATGGGGTGCGGTGGGGTGGGGTGGAACGGAACACACTGTAATAGAATGGAATGGGATGGATGGAATAGGAAAGAAAATATTGGCAAATATCAGGCATGGGAATGGTCAGAAGGGTTCCGCGAACTGTTACATGATTTCTATGTGTGTTTAATAGGTTGCCAGATGAATTTCTTAGTCACTGATAACATTTGTGGGAGCCTTTTTAGGGCAGACGGAATTACTCAGCTTTTATTGCTCAATGTGATTCCCCAAATACATGCTGTGGGTGCGTGGTCACAGAGCAAGTGGGGCCCAGACTGCTGGGGAGACAGACATTGAGCAAGTCAGCGAGTCAATGAACGTGACCGCCGGAGTGTGGGAAGCGCCAGGGAGGTGGCGGTCAGAGCGGCATGGCCCAGACGGAGGGGGGCGTCAGGACAGACCCCTCTGGTGGGGGGGGGCACATCTGGACAAAGGTTGTTCCAGGCAGAGGGAACAACGTGTGCAACCTCAGTGAAGCCGGAAGGGCGTGGCGTGTTCGCAAAGGTCGGGGGCCCGAGGAGGGCCAGAGAGTGAGGGCCGGTGGCGTGGTGGTGCCGGGAAGGACGGACAGACCGACAGACGGTGCCCGACGCTGGCGTACTGCAAGTGCAAGGGGTGGCGGTGGGAATGCCCAGTGGGCTCTGGAGACCACCCAGGGGTGGGGGTTCCTGGCGGGAGCCCGAGGGGATGAGGTTTTTCCAAGTAGAGAAACAGATTGTGCTTATTCTCTCCAGGGTGCCGGGCTTGGTGCTGCTGGCAATGGGGAGCTAGAGTGTGTTTGAGCTCACGAGGGCTGTGGGGAGGAGAAAGACTTCCCCGGGGGGCTGAGCATGAGCGTGTCCTCTGACCAGCCCCAATGCCTTTCTTCCCAGGCAGGGGCCCCCACCGGCTTACAGTGCTTCCCTCCCTCCTCTGGACCGTATCCGACCCCCTCTGAGCCCAGACATTGGCTCTGGGAGTCTGAGCTCAGACACCGGTCTGGAAAGGGGACTTGGGGACTAATAAGACTCCTTAGCCCTCCGCAGCCACACAGCCCCTGCCCCATATCAGGCCTCAGGTGTCCCCAGCAGACAGGCCTGTGTGGAGGCCCCCCAGTATACATCTCCAGGATCCCCGCCAAAAACATCCCAAGGTGGACACGGGAGCCTGGATTCCACAGCAAGGCTAGGGGGCAGGAGGAAGAAGAGATGGGGGGCCAGCCCCACCCCCTCCAGGCTGAAGCCCCCCACTGCAGAGACAGCAGGCCCGTCTCTCTGCTCTGGCGGCCCCACGCCGGGGCTTAGGCAGCAGACGCTTGTTCTCTCGTGGTTTCAAGTTGAAGTCCAAGATCAAGGGCGGCAGGGCTGGCCTCTCCTAAGACTGCCACCTCCTCCTCGATGCTCACCACCTGCCCCCACTTCCTCTTTCTAAGAACACCTGTCACCTTGGGCCGGGCCCACCCTCGTGGCCTCGTTTTATTTTAATGTGGTCGCCTCTGCAAAGACGCTGAGCGCTGGGTTTGAGGACTTCCACCTGTGAGTCCCGGGGTGCAGGTCCCCCCAGCAGTGTCTATTCTCACTTCCAGGCCCCTCCCTCTCTGGTCTCTCCGTCTTCTCCATCTGCCTCTCCTGCCTCCCCCTTTTGCCTCTCTCTTCCCTGGCCCCTTCTCTCCACAGACACTCTCTTCCCTGCAGGACCCAGTTAGACTAAAGGTCAGTCCCGCCTCCGTTCCAGCTGGGCCACCTGGGTACAGGGCTGCTCCTCTTCTCCCTACCTCAGTTTCTCCCCCTGCCAAAGGGAGCGAAAAGCACCCCCTCTCATGCACACAGGCCAGCAGAGCCAACAGGGACTCAGATGATCAGAGTAAGGAGAGACGCTGCAGTCAGCGCTCATCTCCCATCCTCATCTCGGCCCCAGCTGGGAAGAGCACGGAGGCCCAGAGAGGGCCACTGAGCTGCTCAAGGTCACACAGCCGCTGGGCCAAAGTGCCCCGTGGCTGGGGATTTTTCCACCCACCCCTGTGACGGAGCGAGCGGGGAGCCAGCTGGCAGCCCGGGCCTGGGGGCCCGCAGGGGTGGGGAAGATCCGCCCAGCTCCCGAGAGGTCAGCGTCCCGGACTTAGGAACACAGCTGTGGAGCACATGAGCCAGACTGAGTTTCCACCCCGCGTAGTGAGGGCGGGCGAGGCAGCTGCAGGGCGGCTCCATTTGCTGAGAGCTCACGCCGCCCTGGGGCCCCATTTCCAACTTGCGGAGTCGCCTCAGTTAGTCCTCAGAAGCCCAGGGTGGCAGGGTCTGTTAGCCCCACTGTTCAGCCGAGGAAACTGAGGCCCTGCAAAGCTTATACTTGCTCAAGGTCACAAGTGAGGCTGATGCAAAACCCCAATCTGCCTGCGTGCTGGAGTGTCCCTCCCTGACGCCTGCCAGGCTGTTCCACGGTCCCAGAGACCCAGCCCTATTCTCATAGGGCCCCCCTGAGGGTGTGGGGAGCCAGGGAGCAGAGCTCAGGGAGCAGGCTGAGCTCAGACCCACTTAGGGGGCCTCCGTCTCCTCTTCCTGTGTGACCCCAGCAGAGCACATGTCCTCTCCAGTCCTCAGCCTCTGACCTCTGAAGTGGACCTGGCCTATAGGCCCAGTGTCCGGGCAGACAGTACCATGTCTGCACAGCCAAGCACCGACAACCCCCAGCAGCCCCCCACGGGCCTCCCCTCTTGTCCCGGGCCGCTTTGCTCATCGGCACACTGAGACGCATCTGAATTTCTTACATCTGTCCCTAGTGAGCCTGAGACCCCTTCCTGTTTACTGGCACCAACCAGTTCCTTCTTTTGCCAACTTCTTGTTTATTTCTCTGGCTTCTCCTTCTCTGGACTGTGAGGGCTTCCTTCTCAATTTGCAGGCGCGCTTTCTGCACCAAGGGTGTTAACCCTTATTGATCATCTTTCCCCGGCTTGCTCTTTCCTTTACCTCCTTAGAACCCGTGCTCTCTGCTTCTTTCAGCCCTGAATCCATAGATATTAAAAAACTACAGTGTGCCAAGAACAGTTTGGGGGCCTGGTGATAGAGCAATGAACAACACAGGTCGCCCTTGGTCCTGGGTTCCAGAGACCCAGCCC